CAGTAGCCCGCCGCGCAGCGCCGCTCGCAGCGCGCGCCCGTGTACCCCGCGCCGCACAAACACTCCCCTACACAAACACTCATCGTCATCTCTTCATCTCTATCCTAATCCTGTAGGCACGACGCAATAGGTTATCCTCCTCCAGGTTAATCTAACTTCTGTCGTCTCAGTCGTTACTTACTAGATCATGTCACCTTTCGTAATAAATTCAAATTGATGTAATGTGGTAGAGGTATGTTTAGGAAGATCTCTTTGTACCTGTGTGTGCCTCCACACTAATAACTCATTCTTCTTGTTACATGTGATTCATACCTTCTCATAATGCCCATAGCTTTCTAACCTTTTACTTCTTAACTTCTATATAATTGTGGCTACTTTTAGATTTCCCCAACATCGCGATATTAGAAAAAAGTTAAAAAAGCAAAGTGACGACAGCGAAGTGTTGCCAACGGGCAAAAACTTTGAGGCAATAGAACCCTTTGCTGTGCGGTAATTTATCGAAAGCGGCGCAAACGTATTTATATTGCAATTATAAGAAATGGACGGATCGTTAGGTTAGACGTATTTGGCAACGCAAACATTAGCGTTATTGCGATAGTATTACGTTAGCATAACACAGTAAACATTGAAGTTATAAACACATTTTACAATGTAGTCACGTTCCTCAACAAATAACACAAACAATTACACAATAATAAAAACAAAAGATTAAGCAGATAAAGATATTTAGATTTACCAATACAAAAATGTGATAAACAAAATGATCTCATGTAGCCCAAAAGAAAAAAAAAACTCTACAAACGATTGATTTCAATTATTATTTAAAGCTTTTTAGTACTAAATAATAAGTGAATTTATAATAAAAAAAATGATAGTAGGTACACTTACCATTAACGGGGTTGCAGGGGGCGTCGTTTTCACAGTTGCAAGGCTGACGACATCTTAGGCCGTAAGTTTTCCCGTCACACGGACGATCGCACTTCAGACCATCGAATCTGTAATAATTTGTGAACAATTAGATAATCTTAGTATACAAAGAATTAACAACACAAAAGTATAGTCATCATCACAACGCACGATTCCCCACAGAGGGGCTCGGAGCATACCCTAAGTTAGGGTAACTAGGACATAGTCAACTACGCTGGCCCACTGCGGGTTGGTTGACTTCACACGTATCTTAGAATTTCTTCACAGAAAGGTGCAGTTTTCATCACGATGTTTTCCTTCGTCGTAATAATGTCAGGTAAATTATGTACATATGAAATACGATAACCACATTGGTACACGGCGGGATTTGGACCCACGACCTGTCGATTACAAGTCAAATGCTTAAACCCCTGAGCCACCTACGCTCTCTCTTGAGCGAGTATAGTATTTTTTAAATATCTCGAGTACTCGGAGCATCACATGAATCGCTACGAAGAAGAAAACATTAGCTGTTAGGAGGCATAACGCGATAAGAGCGGCTGACCTTTGTTCGCAGGAGGTGTTCGTGCAGTAGAAGTATATTACCATAGAAACAGTTGTATTTTGCCTAAAGATCGTCTACTTTTATTATAAATCTACTAGCTGTTGCCCACGACTACGTCCGCGTTGTATTAACAAAAAAAACAAAAGTAAGTAGCCTATGTGTTCTTTCATACTCTACTCTACATCTATGCCAAATTTCATCCAGATCCGTTCAGCCGTTTAGGCTACAAACTAACAGACATCTATCCATCCATCTAAACTTTCGCATTTATAATATTAGTTAGATTACAATTTATAAAGCAGTGTATTTGAACTTTCACACACAAGAAGAACAGAATAAGTACGCATCCTTAGACACGGGCACAGAAGACACTATGTTAAAAAAACTGTTTACAAAAATTGAATGCTGCCTTATCTTAACAGGCGTAACATGCTAAGAGGAGCTGACCTTAAGCTGCAGAGACATTCGAAAAGCTATAGCACGTTTTTTTCTTATATAATAAGGTGGCAAACGAGCAAGCGGTCACCTAATCTGACAAACTGGCGAAGCGAACGCTCGTTAAAGCGGGCTTTATCACTATTATTGGATACTAGCTGTTTCCATGCGACTTCATCGGCATGAAAATATAAAATTTTAATTTATTGTTTACAATTGTCAAATTCTTAATTGCAAATGTCATAATACAAATTACCGTACCATTGCAATCTTGCTTTTTTGATGTTGGCAGCTTGAACTGTATGATCTCTTTCACACATCAAGATTTTTACCAATTTATTTACCTCTTAAGTTTAATAACGTGAAAATGTACATCCTAAAGCGTGTCGTAAGTGTAGGGCTTTTTATCAAAGAATTTATTCAAGAATATGGTGTGATTGCTGACATCTTACGCGACGAAGTAGTGTGTGTTTACGCTTTATTATATTAGTGTAGATATTTACCCCGGCGGGCAGTCGCAGTGGCCCGTCTCGTGCGAGCAGGTGGCGTTGTTGTGGCAGTGGCAGGTGTGTGCGCAGTTGTCGCCGTACTGCGGCGCGGGGCACGGCTCCTCGCAGCGCAGCCCGCGGTACCCCGGCGCGCACAGGCACGACCCTGACACATACATTCATACTTACTATTGCTAACAAAAGTGTTAGTGTTACTCAAAGATATAGACTAGACAGGCAACTAGTTTTTTTCACCGGTAACTTATTTAAAAGGTACCATGTGAGTTGTCAAGTTAAGTTCGCACTCATGTCCTTGTATTGACATGTTTTAAAACAATTTTTTTTTTAAAGAAAAGATGTGTTTATTTTTAAACATTTAAATATTATTTATTAACACCTATAAATAATTCATTTAAATCCAATTAATTATACATATGAGACAGCGTTAGTGAGGATCATGTGAAAAATGTGTTAAATGATGTGTCTATGCATCGTGAATACATTTACAGCCTTACAAATAAACGCGGTATACAGTTAAACTTAGAAATAAACTAAGTATAAATTAGTATTTTTTTTATAATATAAGGCGACAAACGAGCGAGCGGCCACCTGAATCCACCGAAATGGAAAGCGACCGCTGCCCATAAACGTCCGAAATTGCAGATGCGTTGCCTACCCT